CAGACAAACAACCCAAATTTCTAAACTTCTCCCCAGTTCTGTTGTGTAATAGAAAGGTTAGGAAGGTCACAGTCACCAAATGGCTGGGAAATATATTTTTGACACCACATATCCCCCAACTATCACAGTTTAGTGGCAACAGTTCTAATTAATATTCTGTCATTCCAGTTTCTCAGTTTCCAAGTTTCTCTTTCATTCTCCCATTGTCCCCTTTGTCTTTAGGTTATTTCAGTTGCTGCTACAATCATTTGATTCAACAGGAGGGAAAGGATGGGAAGGGGAAACCTCTCGCTCTTCCCAATAGGCTCGGGCAAAAGCCAACTGCTGCAGCCTCTCGTGACTTGTGTATTTTTCGTTATTATTATTTTGCCATCTTGACCACACTCTGATGTTGCTTGTTTACACATGCCTTGGTTTTTATCTTTGAAATGTTGGCGGGTTCTTATGTCACTCATTTTGAAAAACAAGGTTCATTTTCAATTGATTTAGGGCATTAAATTACATACTGACACAGCCTTCTGAAAGGTACACTGAGGAACTGTGAAATACAGGGACTATAACAATATGATAAGCTGATTGAAGATGATATTTTAAATAATTCTGCATTTTCTCCAGCAGATGCAGCTAGTACTGAAACTGCTGGTAGAATTCCTTTGTCCAAGATGTGTCATTTTTATCCTTCATGTGTACTGAGGGTAATGTTATTTGTAGCTTGTGGTTGCGGAAAGCTAGGCAGAGGGTAAAAAATAGGAATTGCTCTCTTCCATGTATCGAAACAGAATGTATGAATGTATTGCAAAATGTGTGCGCGCGCGTATGAGTGTGTGTGAGTGTGTGTGAAGCTGGACTTTCTGTAAATATACCATTATGAACTATGTAAAATCAACCCTTTGTTTCCACTTTATAAAGATTATAAATACTGGATTACAAAAAGTCTTGCAAAGTTGTTGCTTTTTTCTGCATCAGTTTCATATTTATACATAAACACGCAGAGCACCAAGAAGTATGAACCCACTTCCTCAACAGGTGCTTTTAGAGACAAAACAGTGAGACAAAATCAGATGTAACATCAATAAGGGGAATGCAATAATGTGTATTTCTTGAAGCCTTAGCTGCCTTGTTGAAATGGGAGTTTTTCTTCTCATACAGTTCTGGTTCCCCACAAAAGTCTCTTCTGTTGAATAACTGGGGATCGGAAGGGGCGTTGTTGTTACCTAAGGGTGAAAGCACGTATTTGGCTGTCACTTGCCTATTTACGGCAACCCCATGAATTTCATAGGCTTTTCTATGGGAAGAATGCGTAGAGGTGTTTTTGCCAGTCCATTCCACTACAGAAAAGGACAAAACTTGTGTCATCCCCAGGAGTTTTGTTTTGTTTTAAATAATTCTTACAGTAATGACAAAATATGACAGACCTTGAGATGGGATCAGAAATTACATGCTTTATAGCATGTTCCAGTGTGCTAGTCCAAAAAGCTAGATTTGTGTTGTCCTGGCCTAGGAGGAGAAGTTATTTATTTATTATATTTCTACCCTGCCTTTCTCGAACCCGAAGGTGACTCAACATAAGCAGCTATTCAATGCCATTAAAACAATGTAAAAATTACAACAAACATTTAAACAGAATTATAAAATACAGACATTAAAAATGTTAAAAACATATAAAACCACTACCTTCACTATTAGCCTTGTTGTCCAAAATCATAATCTAAGCCATTCCAGTATTCAATTTCACATAGTTCTGTGTTTATCTATTGCATTAGGTTCCCAAAGACTTGCTCGAAAAGCCATGTTGTAACTTTTTTGCAGAAGGTCAGGAGGGAAGGGGCTGATATAATATCCCTAGGGAAAGAGTTCCACAGCCAAGGGGCCTCCACTGAGAAGGCCCTGTCTCTTGTCCCCACCTATTGTACCGCTGAAGAAGGCGGGAACAAGAGCAGGACCTCCCCAGACAATCTTAAGCTCCTAGATCAGTGTTTCTCAACCTGGGGGTCGGGACCCCTAGAGGGGTCGTGAGGGGCTATCAGAGGGGTCACCAAAGACCATCAGAAAACACAGCATTTTCTGTTGGTCATGGGGGTTCTGTGTGCCAAGTTTGGTTCAATTCCATCATTGGTGGAGTTCAGAATGCTCTTTGATTGTAGGTGAACTATAAATCCCAGCAACTACAACTCCCAAATGTCAAAGTCTATTTTCCCCAAACTCCACCAGTGTTCATCTGGGCATATTGAGTATTCATGCCAAGTTTGGTCCAGATCCATCATTGTTTGAGTCCACAGTGCTCTCTGGATGTAGGTGAACTACAACTCCAAAACTCAAGGTCAACGCCCACCAAACCTTCCAGTATTTTCTGTTGGTTGTGGTAGTTCTCTGTCCCAAGTTTGGTTCAATTCAATCATTGGTGGAGTTCAGAATGCTCTTTGATTGTAGGTGAACTATAAATCCCAGAAACTACAACTCCCAAAAAAAAAATCAATCCTCCCCAACCCCACCAGTAAGTGTGGGTGCATTGGGTATTTGTGCCAAATTTGGTCCAGTGAATGAAAATGTTGTTGTTGTTGTTGTTGTTCATTCGTTCAGTCGTCTCTGACTCTTCGTGACCTCATGGACCAGCCCACGCCAGAGCTCCCTGTCGGCTGTCACCACCCCCAGCTCCTTCAAGGTCAGTCCAGTCACTTCAAGGATGCCATCCATCCATCTTGCCCTTGGTCGGCCCCTCTTCCTTTTGCTTTCCACTTTCCCCAGCATAATTGTCTTCTCTAGGCTTTCCTGTCTCCTCATGATGTGGCCAAAGTACTTCAACTTTGTCTCTAGTATCTTTCCCTCCAATGAGCAGTCGGGCTTTATTTCCTGGAGGATGGACTGGTTGGATCTTCTCGCAGTCCAAGGCACTCTCAGAACTCTCCTCCAACACCACAGTTCAAAAGCATCTATCTTCCTTCGCTCAGCCTTCCCTAAGGTCCAGCTCTCACATCCGTAGGTTACTACAGGGAATACCATGGCTTTGACTAGGCTGGATCTTTGTTGCCAGTCTGATGTCTCTACTCTTCACTATTTTATCAAGACTGGACATTGCTCTCCTCCCAAGAAGGAAGCGTCTTCTGATTTCCTGGCTACAGTCTGCATCTGCAGTAATCTTTGCACCTAGAAATACAAAGTCTGTCACGGCCTCCACATTTTCTCCCTCTATTTCCCAGTTGTCAATCATTCTTGTTGCCATAATCTTGGGTTTTTTGATGTTTAGCTGCAACCCGGCTTTTGCGCTTTCTTCTTTCACCTTGATTAGAAGGCTCCTCAGCTCCTCCTCGCTTTCGGCCATCAGAGTGGTGTCATCTGCATATCTGAGGTTGTTAATGTTTCTTCCAGCAATTTTCACCCCAGCTTTGCATTCATCAAGCCCCGCACATCGCATGATGTGTTCTGCATACAAGTTAAAAAGGTTGGGTGAAGAGGATGCAGCCTTGCCGTACGCCTTTCCCAATCTTGAACCAGTCTGTTGTTCCGTGGTCAGTTCTGACTGTTGCTACTTGGTCCTTGTACAGATTCCTCAGGAGAGAGACAAGGTGGCTTGGGATGCCCATCTCACTAAGAACTTGCCACAATTTATTATGATCCACACAGTCAAAGGCTTTAGAATAGTCAATGAAGCAGAAGTAGATGTTTTTCTGAAACTCCCTGCCTTTCTCCATTATCCAGCGGATAATGAAAATACATCCTGCATATCAGATATTTACATGGCGATTCATAACAGTAGCAAGATTACAGTTGTGAAGTGGTAATGAAAACAATTTTGTAGTTGGGGGTCACCACAACATGAGAAACTGTATTAAAGGGTCACGGCATTAGGAAGGTTGAGAAACACTGTCCTAGATAGTTTATAGGGAGAGATACATTCGGATACATAAGCTGGGCTGGAACCAAGAAGGAGGAAGAAGAAGAGGAACTTATCCTTAAAACTTACTGTGCATGAGAAAAGTTAACTCTCTGCAAAATTATGGAAATTCCACACCACAATTGTGGTTGAAAATAAATCAATTTCTGGAGTTTCTGGTAGCCATGATTTGGCAACTGCTCAAATGAGTTATGGCCAACATTCTGTGAGGAAAAGAAATCCTCCTCAAAGGAATCCATGGTGTCTCTTAGTGTTTCATCCACAGTCTGTACTTGCTCAGACTGTAAATCCAGCTCCAAAACAGAGCTAAAGAATGGGTATTATTACTCACTGGAACTGCTTGTTTGATTATGATGTATCTGACAACTTTCTGCTGTCCCATCGACATAAGCAAGACGTGTGTACCAGATTGGGAGTGTTGTATCTTTCACCTTTTCCACATAGTCGTGAGAAACAAGAACCTAGTTATCTTTCTTCGATTAAAGGTAATTTCTCCTTGTGAGTTATAGAGAAGACCTAAAATTCCACGGTAATTTGGAGAGAACTTCACAGAGTTGTTACAACTGCTTGTAGCAGCTGAGTTACAGGCCACTGTTGGTAATACTTACAACAATAAAACAATAAAACACTGCAGTAAAACAGTATTTTCTTTGAAAAGGACTTTAATTGAGCAGCAGCCCAGTTTAAAGATCGCAAACCATGCGAAGGAACAGCAAATATACAAGTTGCCCATCAACTTGTATAGAACCTGGAAAGCAAGCTCAGCAGGGATATGGTTAGTCTTCTCCTGTGTGCCATTTTATAACACAGTCCGTATTCAGAAGGGTAAGTTGCTGGTGAGTCTATTGTAATGGCCTTCAAGGGGTTTAAGGAAATATTTTGCAACTTTCTAGGATGGACACAGCTAACTTGGATGGACTGGATCACTGCTTGGGAGAGTAAATGGAATGATTGCCAGAGCTTTGGGAGCAAAAAGATCTTAAATACCCTGGACAAAACATCTATACTGTGCATTCATTTTCAGTTCCTCCCAACAAATTTTACACTTGTTCACATGGTTTAAGGGTGTCTCGATCACCCACTCCCTTCGCTGTTTGGCATGTGACTTATGGGCTGTCCTCATAGCTCTCAACGTTGCAGCTCTTCAGCTGTGCTTCCCCTTTGCTGGGAGCACTTCAGGAGGGAACAGCAAACCTCTTGTCTGGCAAAAGGGCAAGTCTATTGGGACACAACCTTCAAGAATTCCTGCGGCACCTTAACAACTGAAGAGCGTGCCATAATTCCTTAGTCTTCTGCCATAATTATTACTTTCAGTGTCTCTAGACTGTTTCTTAGCCTCTGGTCTCCATTCACCATGATCTGGAAGAATCTATTTGTGGAATGCCTTCTAATCACAGCCAATGGTGAGTAGAGGGATTTGAGCAGTTGTCAGGATATAATAAGGAGTGTATGCTCTATTACCAGTGTATGTTTAGGTAGGCATTAGAGGCTTGCAATAATCAAGTTTCTAGTCCTTCTGTTATGTTAATGGCTCTGTAATTAAAATGCCAAAAAGGCATAGATTGTTGTTACAAAGAAGTCTGAGCAAGTTGGAGATCCCTACACTACAGAGCTATGAAAGGAACTCTTGATACAGGGATTTGAAGATGACAGCCACCAAGACTTGGAGACATTAGTTTTAGCCTGAATTCCCCTAAAGTTTGGAGAATGTTATTTTTGAACTAGAGTTCCCAGAACTTATGAGCATGGCTGGGGCATTCTGGGGATGTAGTCTGAAGTTCTTCTGACTACTTCTGATTCATCCTTTTGATAACTTTGTGATAGTTTTACAAGGTCTTTAGCCTTTGCTGCCAAATAGCGTTAGTGCCTTAGGTCAAGGTTTCCCCTGACATTAAGTCTAGTTGTATCCGACTCTGGAGGTTGGTGCTCATCTCTACTTCTAAGCCAAAGAGCCAGCATTGTCCATAGACACCTCCAAGGTCATGTGGCCAGCATGACTGCATGGAGTGTGATCACCTTCCCACTGGATCTACTGACATTTGCATGTTTTTGAACTGCTAGGTTGGCAGAAGCTGGGGCTAGCCGCAGGAGCACACCCGCCAACCTTTCAGTTAGCAAGTTCAGCAGCTTAGTGGTTTAACCCACTGCGCCACTGGGGGTTTGGAAAGGTTAGTGTCTTACCAAACTTCAACTCCCATTATTCTATAATATTGTGCCATGGTGGTTAAAGTGGTGTCAAACTGCATTCATTCTATAGTGTAAAGCCACCCAAGACAGTTTTTTCCCCCCAGTATGATTACAGGAATACAATTTAAACCCATTTTCTGATGTCTTGCAGCACTGTTCAGCTGTGGGGAAATGCTGAATAATGGGAGCAAAGCCAAGACAGACCAACAACTAAACTCCTTGCTGCTTCTTTCCAACCATCCTTTCACCTCTCCTCCACACAGTAAGGTAGAAGCTTCCTCCACACCGTTTGTTCGTGGAATTGCACAACTGGCTGACCAAGAAGCATATTCAATGCAGAAAGAAAAAGCGATAACAGCCAAACCAATGCCATCATCATCCAACCAAACTATAGACCACACACAGGCAAAAGCAACGGTCAATCCCATGAGGATAAGTGCAAAATCAACTGGTCAGCATACAGTATACACAGTGGTAAAAACTACAGTTGTTGCCAGGGGATCAGGAAGGCAAACTGAGCCATTATGGGATCAGATCAGAAGTCATACAGACAATAGGAAAACATTAGCTACTGAGATGACAACTCTGCAGACTGACTCTCCAAAAACTCAGAAGACTGCAACTCTTATCCGACCGGTAATTATGGCAAATACAAATAAGACGGTGTCTGAAACAGGTCACATCCACATCGCACAACCAGCAACTAAAGGAACAAGGGGTGCTGCCCACAAGAACATAGCATCCGTTGTTTCCACTGCTCCAAAGCCTACAACTCCAGTTGGGCCAACTCTTGCTCCTAAGCTCTCTCCAGCTGCAACTGGGACATATCGGGTTCCTAATGGAACTGCAGCTTGCATCAAAGCATTGATGGGCTTGACCCTGATTGCTAAAAACAGAAATGCAGTAAGTTATGCTTTTTTACCACCCTTCCCTTGCTTCTAAATGTCATTGCTTGTTCCAAAGCAGAAATGTGCCGTGAGGCAGAAACCTGCCATAGCTATTATATGTCAAGTAACATATACCTAAGTGATGTTAGATCTTGTCATTCTTGTTGCTGTTGTTTAGATAATGAAATGATCTATCAATCTTTATTGGAATTAACGTCCTTGTTTCATTCCTCTTTCACAGAACCATATGGAATATTTCAACATCGATCCAAATGCCACACAAACAACTGGAATATGTGGAGCTTTGCTATCAGTACTGAAAATTTCTTTCCAAGGAGGTTTCATTAGCTTTACCTTTCGCAAGGTAAGGATATTATGTGGGGTTTCCAAGGAAATATTTAAAATCCTATCTAAATAAAGTCGTTGGATTAACATTTTGCTTTGGCTTCATCTGTGAGACTTGTGACCCATAGAAGGGTCCCTGGCCCACGGCTGTATATATCACTTTCTGCATGACAACAGGCTACAGATATGACTCTTAGTGACAGGATTTGAGTGGTTAAAATGGAGAGGCAATTAAGGCCCCATCTACACTGCCAAAGAATGCAGTTTGAAATGTGATAAACAGTAGAGTCTCACTTATCCAACCTTTGCTCATCCAGTGTTCCTTATTATCCAACACAGTCTGCCTCCCACCCGGATCCACAACTGTTTCAATACATTGCGATGTTTTGATGCTAAATTAGTAAATACAGTATGTACTACATAAAGTCACCGTGTATTGATCTGCTTTTTCTCTTAATTTGTTGTAAAACATGATATTTTGCTGCTTAATTTGTAAAATCATAATGTAATTTGACATTTAATAGGCTTTTTCTTAATCCCTTCTTATCCAACATTTTCGCTTCTCCAACATTCTGCCGGCCCATTTATGTTGTATAAGCGAGACTCTACTGTACTCACAACAAATACACAATTCTGAACAAGGGCCAAGCAAAGTGGCACATGATAGCGGCTGTGTACATTTCCTCGAGAAATGGGAGATAAAATGTATATAGCAGAAGCAGGTATTATGTAGAAAGGACCCTTGACTCGCTTTCCATGATGGCCACGCTATCCAACACCTTGATTTTCAAATAAAGACTCAAGTTTCACATGTTTACTTTGGTTATTTGTTCTTACTCTTAAAAGAACAGTAGTATTTAACTGAAATAAGATCCTGAGTTAACTCTTGTGCAATTGGGAGTCATATAAAGAGGCTGCAGAGGAGACGCGGAAGTAAAATTTTGATTTTGCTAAGCCTTCCTCTCATGCTTCAAGAACAAAACAGGTATTGGGATGATAAAGTCAATGCCCAACTGCCATATTAAATAATAATAATAATAATAATAATAATAATAATAATAACAACACAACACGATATAATAATAATAATAATAATAATAATAATAATAATAATGACACGATATGAGGATTTAAAGATCGAACTGCAAAAACTCTGACACAAACCAGTAAAGGTGGTCCCAGTGGTGATCGGCACACTGGGTGCAGTGCCTAAAGACCTTGGCTTGCACTTAAACACAATCAGTGCTGACAAGATTACCATCTGCCAGCTGCAAAAGGCCATCCTACTGGGATTTGCATGCATTACTTGCCGATACATCACACAGTCCTAGACACTTGGGAAGTGTCCAATGTGTGATCCGATACAACAGCCAGCAGAGTGATCTTGTTTCCTGTGGACTCATCTTGTTGTGCTTCAAATAATAATAATAATAATAATAATAATAATAATAATAATAATAATAATAAATCACACAGTCCTAGACGCTTGGGAAGTGTTCGACTTGTGATTTTGTGATACGAAATCCAGCATACAGATCTCATTTGCTGTGACATACTGTGCTTTTGTGTCAATAATAATAATAATAATAATAATAATAATAATAATAATATACTTTATTTATACTCTGCTTTATCTCCCCGAGGGGATTCAGGGCAGATTACAGAACACATATACGGCAAACATTCAATGCCGTTATACAATGAACAAGGACAGACAGAAGTAAAGGCTTTTATGTACTCTTTGAAATATATGCATATGTTTGTCTGTTGGAATCTCTGGGGCTTGATGCATATTCATTAGATGCAACCTAATACACACAGTATCTCCTCATTGGCTTTCAGTTGAGTAAAGGAAAGTTATACAACAAAATAATTATTTAATGAAGGGTGGCTTAATTATGATTTCCACACTATACAGCAGTTTGGTCCAGGTTTATCAGTAATTATCCCTTCCATCCTTCTAGCTATAAAGCCCACTATTCCATCAAATGCATCCATGGCATTTAAAGTGGGATCAAATTAAAGGTTGAGTATCCTTCATTTGAAATTCTTGGAGTTAAATGTTTTTCTAAGATCGGGCATATTTTTTGATTTTAGATTACCTATATTTGCATGTATGTACCTGAAATATCTTCGAGATGGGACCCAATGACATTCATTTATGCTTCATATGTAACATATACATATAACCTACAGGTTATTTTACACACAATATTTTAATAACTGAGTTTGTATATACTGAACCATCACAAAGCAAAGATGTCACTCTCTTAGCCATTTCAGGTTTTAGAGAATGTTGAATTTCAGGTAATGTAATGCAACTTTTCATACATGGATTTGAGTATTCACAAGGGTCTAGTGCAGGGATCCTCAAACTAAGGCCCGGGGGCCGGATACGGCCCTCCAAGGTCATTTACCTGGCCCTTGCTCAGGGTCAACTAAGTCTGAAACGACTTGAAAGCACACAACAACAACAACAATCCTATCTCATCAGCCAAAAGCAGGCCCACACTTCCCATTGAAATACTAATAAGTTTATATTTGTTAAAATTGTTCTTTATTTTAATTATTTATTGTTTTTAAGTGTTTTTGCACTACAGATATGATATGTGCAGTGTGCATAGGAATTTATTCATTTTTTTTCAAATTATAATCTGGCCCTCCAACAGTTTGAGGGACTGTGACCTGGCCCTCTGTTTAAAAAGTTTGAGGATCCCTGGTCTAGTGGATACCAAGAGGTTGATGTAATTAGATATCTTTTTTTCTGTCTGTCTTTCTGACTTTTTATTTACAGACTGGAGAGGAATATTATGTCAGTTTGATTGAAGCCACTTTAACAGTACCTTCTGAAGGTAGGTGCCATCCTTTTTTAAAGTTTAAGAGCTGACTCAAGTTTTGTCACAGGCTTTCATGGCCAGAATCACTGGGTTGCTGTGTGTTTTTTGGGCTGTATGGCCATGTTCCAGAAGCATTCTCTCCTGATATTTTACCCACAACTGTGGCAGGCATCCTCAGGCCTTGCAGGACACTATACAAAGAGGAACACTAAAAAAGCAGAGGAATTCCAGACAAGAATCAATGAGGTCCAGCTAACACCTCCCAACAAAGGATTCCCCCAGGCAGCCATCAGCCAGGACTAAAAACTGCAAGGCCATTAAATACTAATCAAGGTGGCAAATTGCAACATTCACACATGCCTCGAGCAGACAAGAGTTCTTTCTCCCACCCTGGACATTCCATATATATATAAACCTCACTTATTTAGTTTCCAGCAGACCCTTCAACCTCTGAGAATGCCTGCCATAGATGTGGGCGAAACGACAGGAGAGAATGCTTCTGGAACATGGCCATACAGCCCGAAAAATGCACAGCAACCCAGTGTCTCAAGCAGGGTTGGCCTGAGGTAATTTCCAAGTGTAAGCAAACAGTATTTTGGCGTGCCCCCCACCCCCCCAAACCAATCACTGAAAAATAAAAGGTAGAAGGTAGAGGTTATTTTTGGTCTCCAGTTTATTCCTCAAAGTGCAAGTCTAATGGCACAGGGCACAGAGGAATGGTATAGGACTGCAGCTCAAGCTTCATAGTGCTCAAGCATGTGCCAACTTGGTTGTTAGCCAAGGAAACAAGCCCAACAGCAAAACAATCTGACTATTCTGTTTATTGTATGCTTCAGGTGTGCCGTATGTTGGAATGAAAAGTGATAAGCTTTTCTCCGTTCAAGTGGGGAATTGCTTTAAATGTACCAGCCCACAAACTTTGGACATGTCTGAGGATCTTCAGCTACTGGTTGCTAATTCTCAGCTTCAAGCCTTCGATTATATTGGTGACACGTTTGGGACAGGTCAGTATCACCACTGTGTCCAAATTAAGAGTTTCCCTTGTGGGATGAGAGGATTTGTAGTACAGGCGGTCCTTCCAGCTGTTTTTGTGAAAGTAAATGTGTCCATGCAATAGCCAATTGCAAAGAATTGCAAATAATTATACAATAACTTTAATTTTATCCATTGAGAAATTCAAACTGGCTCAATGCCAACTCTATAAATGGCAGTTAGAAGGTTTGGGAATAGCTGTACTCTTCCGTGCAAATAAGTTTTGTGAAAGTTTATGATATTACGCCTTGAACATCTTGTCTTACTATCTCTATCTCAATTGCAGCGGAAATGTGTGCCCTTGACAGAAACAAGAAACTGATACCAATCACTGTGAGCCTCAGTCTTGTCGGATTATTTATCATTGTGCTTGTCACCTGCGTGATCTACAGAAGAAAACCAATCAGTGGATATGAGAGTATCTGAAAATCTGAACACTGGTTTTACTGCAGGATGTGGACAATATGAATTATGATGAATGGAAGATTCTGCTTGTTTGGCAATGGCTGACACTATTATAAGATACATTAATTATGTTGCATACCTGAATTTGTTTCTGCACATATATTTGAAAAATGAATGTATTTTGTCATTATTTCTACTGGTATCCTGCTTTTTGCTTAGTACTCAACAGTTACTAATTTAAAATATCTTTAGCCTGTTACAGACTTAAGGGCACTTTTTTAGTTAATCAAAAATTCACTGCTATTTTATTGGGATTTTAAATAGCATAATTTCAATAAATATACTTACAGAATTGGTGAATAGGAGCTATTATTTGCTATTAAGAAGGCTTCTGTTGCAACTCAGGGTAGTTTTCACCTTGCTCAAGACACCAACTCACACCAAGGCTGTAGGTTTTGCAGTTTATTGAGAAAAAGCAAAATCAAAACAGAGAAATAGAAATGCAAAGTTCCATAGGCAAAACAGAGTCTTAAATGTAAAGGCAGAGTTCCCAAGATTCAAAAGCAAAACCATGAAGCATAATCCCTAAGCAATGGTCAAACAAGAGTCCATGGTAAACAGGTACAAATAGGAACAAGATCCAAGTCTCAAGAAGCCAGAGGCGTGCTGCCAAAAGCCAAGGTAAATCCACAGAAGTTAACATAGGAAGAGTAACGTTGGACTGACAGGGATTGCCTGTCGGCTGCATCATTAAATAGTTTTCCCAAACATAAAAGCATTGTGTTGACCTTTGGCTTCACGCCTGTTGGCCAGACGTGAACGTCTACGGACTCTTAATTGCAAACGATCTTGTCTAGTCATTAATTCAGTCTTATCATCAAGGCTAAGCAACTCATTATCTCCGGCCAGCTGGGTCTGGGAACCGAAAGGATCCACTTGAAGTTGTGAAGTTGTTTCACTATCTTTATCTAAAGGCACATTCCGTTCCTCGGGGAACAGGCTTGCTGTTTCTCCTTCAGAAGCCTCACTATCAGCCCAGTCTGTAACATGTACAGAAATCTGTAACCCATCAGCCTCCTCGTCATCCTGCAAAAAGACAGGCTCAAAAGACCTGGCAGGCCCAGAAAGCTCAGATTCAGGCTCAGACTGAGTCACAACAGCTTCGACTTATCGCAATTATATGAGTGAGACACTTCCATCGAAAACTCAGGGCCCTTCCTGGCAGGCCCTATATCCCAGTATCTGATCCCAGGTTTTCTGCTTTTAACTGGATTATATGGTCCCCTCCACACAGCTGAATAAATTCCCAAATTATCTGCTTTAAACTGGAATATAGACCTGTGTGGACTCAGGGTCCTTCCACACAGACCTATATCCCAGAATATCAAAACGGAAAATCAAAACAGTATCTGTTTTGAACAGGGTTATCTGAGTTGACACTCAGATAATGTGGGATTTTCTGCCTTGATATTCTGGGATATAGGGCTGAGTGGAAGGGCCCCCAGATAACCCAGTTCAAAGCAGACATTGGGCCCTTCCACACAGCCCTATATCCCAGAATATCAAGGCAAAATATCCCACAATGTCTGAGTGAAAGGGCCCTGGGTTATATGAATGTGTGGAAGGGGCCTTATTTGACATTACATGTAAACCATGTGTCAAAATGTCACATTTAAACCTCTGAATGATCAAGTGAAATTCTGGAGTAACAATTAGATAAAGACCATTTTAATAATATGCAGTTGAAAATGTTGAGATTTGACAGAAATGTATTTTTAAAGTATATTATGAATTGGAAAGGGATAGAAGAGAAGTGGGTATGTTCAGAATGAACTTGTTGCAATAGAGATATAGTAATTATTATTATTCGAAACACAATAAAATTAGTACACAGCAAAGAAAGTCACTATGCTGGCTATTGTATTGGATCACATGTCGGGCATTTCCCAAGTGTCTGGGACTGTGTGATGTACCGGCGAACAATGCGTGCATATCCCAGTAAGGTGGCCTTTTGCAGATGACAGTTGGTAATTTGTCAGCGCTGATTGTGTTTAAGTGCAGGCCAAGGTCTTTAGGCATTGCACCCAGTGTGTTGATCACCACTGGGACTACCTTTACTGGCTTGTGCCAGAGTCTTTGCAGTTCGATCTTTAAATCTTCATATCGTGTCAGCTTTTCCTGTTGTTTCTCTGCAATCCTGCTGTCACCTGGGATTGCAACATCGACAATCCATACTTTACTTACTTTTATTATTATTATTATTATTATTATTATTATTATTATTATTACTACTATTATTATGATATAGCCTCAGTTTAGTCATCTTTAATTCTAGTAATGGCTTTATTGGTTATTTATTGGTTATTTTGGCCATCCACAATTATCCACAGAACTCTCCTCCATGAGCTCAGTACAAAGGAGTTGATGCTCTTCCTATCAGTTTTCTTTATTATCTAGCATTTAATAAGGCTGCTTAGAAATTTTGATATAGAAACATCACAAATATACACTTTCCTTAGAACAAATATACACAAATATACTTACCAAGCTTGCAAACTTTGAGTTTTGTTTGTTTGTTTGTTAAAAAATGCAATACAACTGGGTTGTTGTAGGTTTTTTCGGGCTATATGGCCATGGTCTAGAGGCATTCTCTCCTGACGTTTTGCCTGCATCTGTGGCAAGCATCCTCAGAGGTAGTGAGGTCTCACTACCCCACTACCTCTGAGGATGCATTGCTTGTCATAGATGCAGGCAAAACGTCAGGAGAGAATGCCTCTAGACCATGGCCATATAGCCCGAAAAACCTACAACAACCCAGTGATTCCAGCCATGAAAGCCTTCGACAATGCAATATAATTGTTTGGTTTGCTCCTGACACAATAAATACATAAGTGTGATGAATTGGAAAACACTTCCTTAAAACAGCCCTTTCTCCATATTTCTCTCTTGCCCCTTCTGAAATGGCGCTTTCTATAATTAAAAAACACAAAACGTTATTTTATAATCCAGAACTTAACCCATATGCACATTTAGGCCACTATATCAGTTAATCAAATGAGTTTTATTTAAACTGAAAACAAAACTGGAGAAATAAGCATTTTTGCAGGAAACTATGAATAGCTGTGGCCAAAGTAAACATAAGCTAACTGATGGATTGGTAGTTTTATTTAGCTTCTAATACAGTAGTATCTTAGTAAAATTATTCTATAATCTAATAATAGATTGCTTTACTTTTGGCTACTATTAGAAGCTACCAATGTCCTCCTTAACTATGAAGGCTGAGCTTGGTATTTCATGGTTCCTAATCAATTATTACATAATGCTGCAGCAGCATCTTATGACTTCTCTCTGATTTCAGCATAAAAATTATATTACACAGTGTTTCCCTGATTTCATACTACTGGTAGTACTCTCTGAGTTTAAGATTCTCTATCCCTGCTGTATTCTCTAAACAATAACCAGAAACCTCACATTCTCTTATGACTTGTTATTTTTACTGCACACTATTATTAAACTTTTTTTTGGACTAAGTACTGAAATCTCTTCTGTTTGTCAATCCTATTTGGCACTTGCTTCCTTTACAATGTATGGATTACATACATCCAATTGCTAAAGGAATATATAGGATGCCATCTAGTGCGCGAAACACACATTGTTGAGGGTTGGATTTATTTATTAATGTCATTTAGATCCTGCTTTTCTGCCAAAGTATCTTATACTCTGGCTGACCTATATCTCAGGATCTGATCCTAGATTATCTGCTTTGAACTGGATTAGATGAGTCTACACTGGGATAAACAGATAATCTGGGATCAAATCCTGTGATATAGGGGTAGTGTAGATCCAGCCTCTAAGGCCCCTTCCCCACTGCCATATAAAATCCAGATTATCTGCTTTGAACTGGATTATATGGCAGAGTGGACTCAGATATCCCAGGCCCCTCCCACACAGCTGAATAAAATTCCACATTATCTGCTCTGAACTGAGTTATATGGCAGCGTGGATATTCCAGTTCAAAGCAGATATGGTGAGATTTTCTGCCTTGATATTCTGAGTTATATGGTTGTGTGGAAGGGCCTTAAAGCCCTTTCTCCCCTGCCATATAAAATCCAGATTGTCTGCTTTGAACTGGATTATACTATATAGCAGTGTGGACTCATATATTCAGGTTAAAAGCAGATAGTCTGGATTATATGGCAGTGTAGCTCCTGCTACACAGCTGTATAACATTCACACTAAACTGGATTATATGACAGTGTGGATTCATAATCTGGTTCAAAGCAGATAGTCTGGATTATATGGCAGTGTAGCTCCTGCCACACAGCTGCATAAAATCCACATTGAACTGGATTACATGGCAGTGTGGACTCATATAATCTGGTTCAAAGCAGATAGTCTGGATTATATGGTAGTGTAGCTCCTTCCACACAGTTGTATAACACCCACACTAAACTGGATTATATAACAGTGTGGATTCATATAATCTGGTTCAAGGCAGATAGTCTGGATTATATGGCAGTGTAGCTCCTGCCACACAGCTGTATAAAATCTGCATTGAACTGGATTACATGGCAGTGTGGACTCATATAATCCGGTTCAAAGCAGATAATCTGGATTATATGGCAGTGTAGCTCCTTCCACACAGCTGTATAACATTCACACTAAACCAGATTACATGGCAGTGTACTCATACAATCCGGTTCAAAGCAGATAGTCTGGATTATATGGCAGTGCAGCTCCTGCCACACAGCTGTATAAAATCCACATTGAACTGGATTACATGGCAGTGTGGACTCATATAATCCGGTTCAAAGCAGATAATCTGGATTATATGGCAGTGTAGCTCCTTCCACACAGCTGTATAACATCCACTCTGAACTGGATTATATGGCAGTGTGGACTCAGAGCCCTTCCACATAGCCATATAACCCTGAATATCAAGGCAGAAAATCTCACAATATCTGCTTTGAACTGGATTATATTGCAGTGTGGGCTCATATAATCCGGTTCAAAACAGATAGTCTGAATTATATGGCCGTGTTTAGGTCCAGTTTCAGGTCCCTTCCACACAGCTATTTAAATCCACATTGAACTGGATTATATGGCAGTGAGGACTCATATAATCCAGTTCAAAGAAGATAGTCTGGATTATATGGCAGTGTAGCTCCTTCAACACAGACGTAAAACATCCACATTGAACTGGATTATATGGCAGTGTGGACTCATATAATCGGATTCAAAGCAGATAATCTGGATTATATAGCAGTGTAGGTCCAGTTTCAGGTCCCTTCCACACAACTATATAAAATCCACATTGAACTGAATAATATGGCACTGTGGATTTATATAAACCGGTTGAAAGGATATAGTCTGTATTATATTGTAGTATAGGTCCTTCCACACAACTGTATAACATCCACATTGAACTGGATTATATGGTAGTGTGTACTCAGTACTATATGGGTGTGAGGAAAGGCCCTGAGTCCACACTGCCATATAATCCAGAAAATCCCACAATATCTGCTTTGAAGTGGGTTATCTTGTTGTTGTTGTTCATTCGTTCAGTCGTCTCCGACTCTTCGTGACCTCATGGACCAGCCCACGCCAGAGCTCCCTGTCGGCCGTTACCACCCCCAGCCCCTCAAGGTCAGTCCAGTCACTTCAAGGATGCCATCCATCCATCTTGCCCTTGGTCGGCCCCTCTTCCTTTTGCCTTCCACTTTCCCCAGCATAATTGTCTTCTCTAGGCTTTCCTGTCTCCTCATGATGTGGCCAAAGTACTTCAACTTTGTCTCTAGTATCTTTCCCTCCAGTGAGCAGTCGGGCTTTATTTCCTGGAGGATGGACTGGTTGGATCTTCTCGCAGTCCAAGGCACTCTCAGAACTTTCCTCCAACACCAACAGCTCAAAAGCATCGATCTTCCTTCGCTCAGCCTTCCCTAAGGTCCAGCTCTCACATCCGTAGGTTACTACAGGGAATACCATGGCTTTGACTAGGCGGATCTTTGTTGCCATTCTGATATCTCTACTCTTTACTATTTTATCGAGATTGGACATTGCTCTCCTCCCAAGAAGTAAGCGTCTTCTGATTTCCTGGCTACAGTCTGCATCTGCAGTAATCTTTGCACCTAGAAATACAAAGTCTGTCACGGCCTCCACGTTTTCTCCCTCTATTTTCCAGTTGTCAATCATTCTTGTTGCCATAATCTTGTTTTTTTGACGTTTAGCTGCAACCCGGCTTTTGCGCTTTCTTCTTTCACCTTGATTAGAAGGCTCCTCAGCTCCTCCTCGCTTTCGGCCATCAGAGTGGTGTCATCTGCATATCTGAGGTTGTTAATGTTTCTTCCAGCAATTTTCACCCCAGCTTTGCATTCATTGAGTCCACCCTAATCACCTCTCAATAAAAGTTTGCTCCAGGCACTGTCAGGCCATTATATGCTAATCAAGGTGGTCAGTTGAAACATTCACACCTAGCTCCAGCAGACAAGAGTCCTTTGTCCCACCCTGGTCATTCCACAGATAATAAACCCCTTTTCCTAGTTCCAACAGACCTCACTACCTCTGAGGATGCTTGCCATAGATGCAGGCGAAACGTCAGGAGAGAATGCCTCTAGAACATGGCCATATAGCCCGAAAAAACCTACAACAACCCTGCAATACAACTGTTTGGTTTGCTCCTGACACGGTCTACTGTCCCCTTTCCCCATTGGTTCCTGAGGGAAACGCCTCCTCTCCTGATTGGAAGGCCGCCCTTAGGCCACGCCCCCCTCGTCTCCCTCCGGTTCGAGCAAACATGGCGGCGTCGGAATGGAGGCGGAAGGCCCTGCGAGGGTTGCTTCGGTGCCCGTGAGTGAGGCCTGGCCCCGGGGCTGAGGGAGGGACGGAGGGAAGGAGCAGGGAGGAGGAGGAAGGCACCTCAGGCCATCATGTCGGGCCTTCTTTCCCCCTTGGAAGCAGAGAAGGAGCGTGGTTTCTCTTCTCAGGCCTTGTGTTTACCTCAGGCGTGGGCCTACTTGGCCCTCCCTCCAGGTGTTTTGGACTACAACTCCCACAATTCCTAAAGCCGGTAGGCTGTTAGGAATTGTGGGAGTTGTAGTCCAAAACACCTGGAGGGAGGGCCAAGTAGGCCCACGCCTGATGTAAACACAATCCTGTAGGCTGTTAGGAATTGTGGGAGTTGTAGTCCAAAACAACTGGAGGGAGGGCCAAATAGGCCCACGCCTGAGGTAAACACAAGCCTGTAGGCTGTTAGGCATTGTGGGAGTTGAAGTCCAAAACACCTGGAGGGGAGGGCCCAAGTTTAGCCTGCCAGTCAGCTTTTGTATGATATAATTCCTAGCACCCACTTTTTGTTTGATTATAATCAGGCAGTGCTTCTTGTAAGTCAGAGCAGTGTCGATCCTCTTTGAAACATTCTTTTGTTGGCCAGTAATGAAACCAGCTCATTTTGCTGTCAAAGTCTCTTATATCTTCTAGAGCAGTGGTTCTCAGCCTTCTTAATGCCGTGACCCCCTAATACAGTTCCTCCTGTTGTGGTGACCCCCAACCATAAAATTATTGTTGTTGCTACTTCGTAACTGCAACTTTGCTACTGTTATGATGTAAATATCTGATATGCAGGATGTATACAAAATTGCCTGCACACCCTGCCACACACACACACACTTCCAAAGTGTGTGGTGGAGCATGTGTGGCGGGGTATGCAGGCAGGTCTAGAAGGTGCCTGAAGCTGAGTGCCTCTTACACTAGAACAGTGGTTCTCAACCTTCTTAATGTCATGACCCCCTAATACAGTTCCTCCTGTTGTGGTGACCCCCAACCATAAAATTATTGTTGTTGCTACTTCGTAACTGCAACTTTGCTACTGTTATGATGTAAATATCTGATATGCAGGATGTATTTTCATTCACTGAACCAAATTTCACACACTCAATATGCCCAAATCTGAATACTAGTGGGGTTGGGGAGATTTATTTTGTCATTTGGGAGTTGTAATTGCTGGGATTTATAGTTCACCTACAATCAAAGAGAATTCTGAACTCCACTAATGATGGAATTGAACCAAACTTGGTTCTCAGAACTCCCATGACCAACAGAAAATATTGGAAGGGTTTGGTGGGCATTGACCTTAAATTTGAGAGTTGTAGTTCCAGAGAGCATCCAGAGAGCACTGTGGACTCAAACATTGATGGATCTGGACCAAACTTGGCACAAGCACTCAATATGCCCAAATATAAACACAGATGGAGTTTGGGGGAAATAGACCTAGACATCTGGAAGTTGTAGTTACTGGGATTTATAGTTCACCTACAATCAAAGAGCATTCCGAAACCCACCAATGATGGAATTGGGCCAAACATCCCACACAGAACCCCCATGACCAACAGAAAATACTGTGTTTTCTGGTGGTCTTTGGTGACCTTTCTGTCACCCCCCCTGGTGCCCCCCCCCCCCGGGGTCTTGACTTCCCAGGTTGAGAAATGCTGCCTTAAGGCCATCCAGTCCAACTCCCTTCACCAGGGCAAGAAAACATAATCAAAGCCCTCTTGACAAAGGGCCATCCAGCCATTCACACACACACACACACACACACACATGTATATGACAGATGCAAAAAAAAATATTATAACGCATGCGCAAAACCACATATATACAGGCAAACACACATATAAACACATATACACAAATATATATGCACATATATGCATATATACACACACAAAACACATACACACAGAAAGGGGGAAGGAAGAAGGAAGAAGGAAGGGAAGAAGGAGAGAAGGAAGGAAAGAAAGAAAGGAGGAAGGAAGGAGAGAAGAATAAAAGTGAAAGAAGGAGGGAAGAGGGAAGGAGAGAAGGAACGAAAGAGAGAAAGAGGGAGGGAAGGAAGGACGAGACAAGGAAGGATGGAACCAAAGAGCAAAGGAGGGAGAAGAAACAGGTAGAGAAGGAAGAAAAAGAAGGGAAAGAGGAGGAAAGAAAAGAGGGAAGAAAGAGAAAGAGGAAGAGGGAAGGTTGGCCACAGCAACGCATGGCGGGTACAGCTAGTTACAGATAAAACACAATCAAATTTAAAACATCAGATAAAATATAAAAACAATCACAGTTGTAAACAACAAAATAATATGGCTGAGAAAGAACATAGCTGGGTTGCTGTAGGTTTTTCGGGCTATATGGCCATGTTCTAGAGGCATTTTCTTCTGATGTTTCGCCTGCATCTATGGCAAGCATCCTCAGAGGTAGTGAGGTCTGTTGGAAGTAGGAAAATGGGTTTATATATCTGTGGAATGACCAGGGTGGGACAAAGGACTTTTGTCTGCTGCAGCTTTGTTGTTGTTCATTCGTTCAGTCGTTTCCAACTCTTCGTGACCTCATGGACCAGCCCACGCCAGAGCTCCCTGTCGGCCGTCACCACCCCCAGCTCCTTCAAGGTCAGTCCAGTCACTTCAAGGATTCCATCCATCCATCTTGCCCTTGGTCGGCCCCTCTTCCTTTTACCTTCCACCTTCCCCAGCATAATTGTCTTCTCTAGGCTTTGCTGTCTCCTCATGATGTGGCCAAAGTACTTCAACTTGTCTCTAGTATCCTTCCCTCCAATGAGCAGTCCAGGCTTTATTTCCTGAAGTATGGATTGGTTGGATCTTCTCGCAGTCCAAGGCACTCTCAGAACTTTCCTCCAACACCACAGTTCAAAAGCATTGATCTTCCTTCGTTCAGCCTGCTGCAGCTAGGTGTCCAGAAACTGGACCTACACACTGCCATATAATCCAGACTATCTGTTTTGAACTGGATTATATGAGCTTTTTGTCTAGCTGCAGCAGACAAAAGTCCTTTGTCCCACCCTGGTCATTCCACAGATATATAAACCCTTTTTCCTAGTTCCAACAGACCTCACTACCTCTGAGGATGCTTGCCATAGATGCAGGCGAAACGTCAGGAGAAAATGCCTCTAGAACATGGCCATATAGCCTGAAAAACCAACAACAACCCAGTGATTCCGGCCAAGAAAGCCTTCGACAATACATTGAACATAGCTGGGGTTCATGTTACACAGCGTGTGTTTTATTCCAGCAAGCTAATGGCCAAAACCCCAGATGCAAAATAGTCTCAGACCAATAGTCAAAGTGAACAGAAAATCTTTACTCTCTTTACTTTGCAGAGATGAAACAAAACTGGCAATGCTGCACATAAAACAGCAGTGCAACATATTTACACAGTCTTTGTAATAAGCATAAAATAAAACATCTTCTAAGCAGCAAATGGGAAATCAAAACACTTGAAGTAAATAGCAGTTTCACCATCAGCATCTCCTACTGGTACTCCACACTGGTGAAATAGAATTCAAGCAGCCCATCAGGAAACCAGCACCCACCATACTGTATTGAAAAACCTCAAACAGTTATAGCCCCTTGGGCGTGGCACAAGATTGTTTCTTTGACCTACTTAGTCAGCTGAACAAGATAATTACAAACAATAAGGTTTTTCTTCACACATATACTTGTGTCCTGCAAGGACTTACCGTAACAGTTCAGGATCCATGAATGGAGTACAACCTGAAGGGAGCGCAAGGAAAGTGCAACAATCAAGTAGACAGGGCTGGGAATAGTGTCATCAAAAGTGTCGTGGTGGGCACTAAAAGGGCTGGCATAAAGTGCTGAAACTTAAGGTAGATGTGTTGTTAGCCACCTTGAGTTCTTATATTGGGAGAAAGACAGGCTAAAAACAAACAGATTCAGCCTAAAACAGCAGTTTGGTTAGGACGTTTCTCCTGCTGTTTGCTGAAACCTACTTCTGAAGATGCCAACCACAGATGCAGGTGAAATGTCAGGAGGGAATGCTATTGGAACATGGCCATACAGCTGGAAAAACTCACAGCTTTTCTGTCAGTTGAGTCTATCCTGGCCTCTGGAGTGAAGGGCAGAAGTCAACTCCACCTTGTGAATGATTGTCCTTCAGGCATTTCAAGTTAGCTATCATCTTTCTCTGTAACCTCACTGTTTGCTCAAACATTTGGCCATGCCAGTTATTGTGGTGATGGAAGTGGTCAACCAAAATATTATTTTTATGTTTATCTACACCCTTATTTTTCTCCCCACAAGGAGACTCAAAGCAGATATCTGTAAGGCACCCGTTCATTAGTATAGATAAGCCTTTCCCCCCTACCTGAGTTCTTCTCCCTTTGTCCATAATTTTATTTTTATGGTAAAAAAGGATCCATCTGTTAAACTTCTTGTTTCGACCGCATTCTGTGTTATTTTTCCTTCTCTCGCAGAAAATGGATTTGGGTAACGAGATCCAGAAATTATGCATCTGCAACAGGTCAGTTTGATTTATTTTATATATAGAAATTTCATATTTTATTATTAATTTTAAAAGTAATGCTAGACAGTTTAAAAATTATTTCAAGAGAAGTTATGTGTGTTTTACCATGAGGAATCTTAGGGGCCTTCCAGACAGGCCCTATATCTCAGGATCCGATCCCAGGCTTTCTGTTTTAAACTGGTTTATATGAGTCCACACTGCCAAATAATCTGGGATGAACAGAAAACCAGGGATCAGGTCCTAGAATATAGGGCCTGTCTGGAAGGACCCTTAGTGATGGTTTATTGTCTGCAATAAAGGTACATAAATACATCCAAGCTTTGCAGAATTGGGAATTTGAGATGTTTTGATTTTCTTCACTATAAATGTTGGAAATGACAAGGTGTTAGAAGTATTCTTGCAGCCGATTTCTCCCTTACTCTGCCATGAAATTTTTTTTCCTTGTTAAGCTACTAAATTCATGTCCTAATGATGAATAGTTCAGTGAACCCTGGCTGAAGTGTTGAATTTCTTCTAAGCAAATAAACTTCTTGAAGCCCATTTTAAATGTCCCATCATTTTCAGTGAATAATTATTGTTTCCATGCTAATCTCTTCTGGAGACAATTGTCACATCACATTATTTCTTATCAACATCTGAATCGATATAACGTGGAGTTCTGCATTTCTCTTGGACTGAGTACTGGAAACCTTGTTGTCTTTAATATTAAACATTTCCAAATTCATATTGAGAGGAATTGTAGATTTGCTAAACCATAGAGAGGTTGGAGACAGATAATTATTTTCAAGAGTTAATTAGGAAAAGTGTTACTGTCTATTGTTTTCACCATTATTTTTATTTATTTAGCTGAAAAGTTGTTTCATGTGTTTGAAAAAGCTTAAGAACCTGTTTATTGGAGGGGAAAAGTAGGGCGTAGAAATACTGTAAGTAATTCCATTATCAAAACCCTTGCAAATTTCTGAAATCTTTTTTGTATTGCTAGGGATAAGATCATCTTAGGGAATTTATTTATATGGAAACATTTTTAAAATTATTTAGTAAACTTATGCTACAGTGTTCTGACTTGTGAGTTACTGGACCATGACTTACTTCTTTTTAATCTCTCCCTCATCTCCTTTTTGTTTTTGTAAGCAGGACAAAGTAATATTGAGAAGGTCCTTGTGGCAAATCGAGGTGAAATAGCATGCAGAGTAATGCGAACAGCTAGGAAGATGGGAGTGAAGTCAGTGGCTGTTTACAGTGATGCTGACAGGAACTCAATGCACGTGGCAATGGTAAAACCTGCTGGTGAAAACTTATAGGGGCTAAGCTTGAAAACAATTGTGAATGGAGAATGAACTGGAATGTTTGAGATTGATTTTTCTTATGTCTTGAATGGAACTTTCCCAGCAGCTTCTGCTGAAGGTGCCAAGACCTCATCCTTGGGCCTTATGCATGCTTAGCATGTGATCAGTCACTAAGATATGGTGGATTTGTTCCACCAGTTTTACAAAATAGCTTCCAAGGATGGGTTTTCTAATTAGTAGATTAAGATGGGGCTTTCTGTTATGAAAGGGACAACTGAAAAACAGAAGATGCTTGTAGTCAATGTCATTAATGCAACTATTTCACTCTCTGGAGTTCATTTCCCGTTTTCTACTAAAGCTTAATATGCATGTATAGATTTATATTTATTGTAATCGTTTTACAGATCCAAGTTCAAGTCTACCTCTTTTTTTTAAAGTCAAACATTAAAACTTATAGCCTTGGTCCTGTGTGTAACTTCAGTGTCCCATTAAACCCAGTGAAGCTTATTTCTAAATAAGTGTGCAGTAATCTAGATCTTTTATTATTATTATTATTATTATTATTATTATTATCTTTATTTATACCCCTCAAAATCTCCCGAAGGACTCGATGTGGCTTACAAAGGCCAAGGTCGCCGACAACAACAACATACAATACACAATAAAACTCATAAGCAAATAATAAACATCAAGCAAAACAATAAAACAGTAAAATGATGACACCGTGATGCAATTAAAACCTAAAGGCCAGGCCAAATGTAATAGACAAAAATTAAAAGTGCTGAACGTGACAGGTAATATGTAGAGGTATTTGGAGGTAGTTGCAATGTGCAGATAATCCTGAATCTCTATCTTTTAGAACGATTGACACCAACAGTTTTGGTCTCTCAATTTCTTATAATCACTAACATGTATTTTGAAACATCATTACAGTTTTTCCATTCTAATTTTTTCTTGTCTGTGACATAGATCAATAATAAATGTTATAGCAGGTCTACTTGTGTTATTACAGGCAGATGAAGCATATTGCATTGGTCCGCCGCCATCTCAGCAGAGCTATTTAGCCATGGAAAAGATAATGCAAGTGGCCAAAAATTCAGCAGCACAGGTACAAACTATACTTACATTTGGCATGCACACTCTCTCCCTCTGAATTTCCCCTCCTGCTATGCTTGTATATTCACGTATGCACACACATACACAACTATTCTCATTTGTACTCCAAAATAAGGTTGGGGGGGGGGCATTTAGTCTCCTTGAGTGAATTGAATAATGAAAGCATAGTGTTTCCTACAGCTATAGTTAAACGGGCATCCCTAACATGATAAGATTAGAGCCTGGTCATTTGCCCTCTCTGTCTTTGCATTTTCTTCTACAAATTTCAGACACTTTTTAAAATTAAAATGATTATTTAGTAGACCCATTTGTCAGTTTTCACACCTGACACTAAAATATACATTGACTCAGTCATCTGTGCAAATATATTTCCCATTGAGAGAAAGCAGTGGAGTGCAATTGTATGCATTGCCTTTCAGTGCTATGAGTCATAGTATTTTGGACAGATATCCTGCTGGAGATACTGTGCTGTAGTAGTTCTTTTTGTTTTTTTCCTTGGCTGACTTGATTCCAGTAGTTGGTGCCAGGAGACCTTGCTCTGCCCTTTGTCAATTATTGCATGAGGTTCTACAACAGGCAAGGGCAAACTTCAATCCTCCAGGGGTTTTGGACTTACCAGCTGGAGGGCCAGAGTTTGCCCATTCCTAGTCTAGACAGTCTTCCCCTTGTTATAGTTGGCCATGCTCAGGAGGAGAAGTCCTGATTTGTATTTATTTTTTGCTAAGATGAGAAATTCTATAAAATATTAAGCAGAGTTTTCTTGGTTCGTTCATCCACATTGTGGAATTTGTTTTCTCATTATATCTGTTTGGCTCCTTCCTTGCTGTCTTTCCACCGGAAGCCAAAAACCTCTTTATTCTTAAGAGCATTTCCACCTAGTGCTTGGTGCTTCTTATTTTAGGCCATCCACCCAGGCTATGGCTTCCTCTCGGAAAACACTGAATTTGCAGAACTCTGCAACCAAGAAGGAATCATTTTTATAGGACCTCCTTCATCTGCTATCAGAGATATGGGCATCAAGAGGTACCCAGTTCTACTTCATGACTAAATTGGTTATTGAGGGTTGTATATTGAAATTCCACTTTTTAAGAATATGACTATGGCCTTGAAGGTATTCCCCACATCTCTTTCTTATACATAAAACTTATAGACTGTTTTATACATTTGAGAATGGCGTGAATATGAGAACAAGGTATTCAAATACAGTGATTATTAGCAAGGAGGAGGCAGTGTCACAGGGATAGATAACACTATGTAACAACATTTGAAAAAAAAACCTGTTCCTGGTTTGAAAGTGTTATTTCCTATTTAATTTTTAGATACTTACTTTGAAAATAGTTGTTATACTCCCGAAACATTGTTTCCAGAAACATTGTTTCCTGAAACAGCCACTTTGAGTCGCCTTTGGGGAGATAAAGCAGGGTAATAATAATAATAATAATAATAATAATAATAATAATAATAATTGTGGCTGCCACAAACTATGTTGAATTGGTTCTGACTATGAGATATTCCTTGAAAAACTATAGCAAAATGTGCCGCAGGAAGTCCTACAAAAACAAGTTTTTGCAGTTTCCCATGTTTTTATGATAGACCCAATTAGGAAATAATATTTATAACTCAGGAACAAAATCATGTTACACAGTGTAATTTTTTTGTGTCAGGAACGACTTGAGAAACTGTAAGTCGTTTCTGGTGTGGGAGAACAGGCCTTTTGCAAGGGTGTTTCCTGGGGAACACCCAGATGTTTTACAGTCCTGTGGGAGGCTTCTCTCATGTCCCTGCATGAGAAGCTGAAGCTGACAGACAAGAGCTCACCCCACTTCCTGGATTCGAACTGCTGACCTTTCGGTCATCAGACCTGCCGGCACAAGGGTTTAACCCATTGCACCACCAGGGCCTCCTATACATAGTGTAATCTGCAGCCCAAAGGCTGGATGCAGCCCTTAATTTTATGCATTCCTTTAACTAATTTAATCTGAGTTGGGAAAGCATATTGCAGAAGAAAGAGCAGAGAAAATGGGGTTGGAAGAGACAGATAGAATAGCAGAAGGAATGCGGGGGCCCAATAGAGTACATGGAGCAGTGCAGATAAAAAAAGATTGGATTGATGGAGAGAAAGTGGCACAGTGAAAACTATGCATTCCTGAAAAACTCCATGTCTAACAGTGATCCTACCCATCACCAGGTCTCCACCTATCTGCTTTCACCATGAAGCCCTTGATGAATTATTCCAAGAGAGATGTGCCCTTTGACAGAAAAAACAAGGCTTTTGACACCTGCAGTAGAACAACACCACAATCATATTTTAAATTGGATTAGGGCACTATTTTAAAAATACAGAAAAATGTATTTTCATCTCTAATAGAGTCACAAGTGAAAGGAAAAATGTTCAAAACTGTATAGATCATGTGCCAATTGTATATAGTAAATAAATGTATACAATTTGCATAGAAAGATATCTAGATATATAGGCAGATAGAGATATTGGTATGCATGTATTCATACTGGATAGCCAGTTGTGGTTTCCTATGACATAAGAATATTCTATTTAATAACTTGGGTATGTTTTTAGTTTGACTGGGACATTGGATCTACTCCAGGTTTTAGTTTAAACTAATATGAGTATTTTAGGTGCTGAAGCTTTTTTGCGGCTAGGGCTATGCACTGTGAGAAGTAGCTCCTTTAAATTTAAACTGGATACTAATTCACAGCTCCACTCATGCGGAAGTCAATTTTTTGTTCTTTAAAAACAGAACTTCTGCAAGACCTCTAGTTTGTGTGAGTCCATTGTTGCAGGTCCTGAGCTGTGTAATAAAAAGCCCCCACTATCATTGCCATTGATTTTCAAATGGCATTCTTTTGCAGCACTTCCAAGGCCATTATGTCTGCTGCTGGGGTTCCTGTGGTCGAAGGTTATCATGGTGAAGATCAGTCTGACAAGTGCTTGGCAGAGCAAGCCAGAAGGATTGGGTATCCAGTCATGATCAAAGCAGTACGAGGAGGTGGAGGAAAGGTAAAATCATTTAGAAGTTTGCTGTTCTAGAAAATAAATATTTCAGGTTTTATGTGCCAGTTTTTGCACATAAAACTGTGTACTGCAAATACATGTGTATTATATTCTCTGAAAGGACCTTGGAGGAATTTTATTTGTAGTGATCTGAGTAGTCACTGAACTGCAGTTAGTTAGTGAGTGATGTATCTTTATTAAAAATAAATCCAGCAGAAAAATATGTAAGAGTTTGCTGCTTTAAAAGAAACCACACATTCACAGCTTTTCTCCTTACTTTTCTAACTTCCCAGGGCATGAGGATTGCTCTCTCAGAAAAAGAATTTCAGGAACAACTAGAATCAGCCAGGAGAGAAGCAAAGAAATCTTTCAATGATGATGCCATGTTGATAGAGAAGTTTGTAGATAATCCAAGGTAAGACAGTCATCTATCTCCTTGTAACCCAGGCAGGGGCAAACTTGGGCTCTCCAGGTGTTTAGGAATTCAACTCCCACAATTCCTAACAACCGATATCTGTTGTTTGACCATATGTGTTGTAACCAATTCGACAAGACGTCAGAGATTTAGGGCAGAAAGTGGAATGCGTGAGTTTCATATAGGACAGTTTATGCTAGACCTTGCTTTTCTCCCTTGAATAATTCAGCTTGGCTACTGAAAGGTGAAGATTTGGATCAATTGATTTCTTCTCAGTACATTAAAATGTTTTATTGCAGACATTGTTACTGGTGGATGTAGGTTATAAACATTGTTATCCTTCGCCTTTTCAAAATCTGAATCAGGCATGTGGAAGTTCAGGTGTTTGGAGACCACCATGGCAACGCAGTCTACCTGTTTGAAAGAGACTGCAGTGTACAGAGAAGGCATCAGAAAATTATTGAGGAAGCTCCTGGAGTAAGTACCCAGTGAAAAAAAGACAATTGAAAGAACTGTTTGTTTTCTGTTTTTGTGTTGTTTTTTAACATAAGACACTAATGTCATCTTAGCATATTTTTGTAGGGGAAAAAAAAACCCAGTTTCAAAGACCCCAAAACACACAAAACATTGCAAATACAGAGGGGAAAACATACTGAATATGGAAACCAGAATTTGATAAAGTTACCTTTTTTGGACTTACAAAATCCCCAAAGTAGTGGGTGGAGGGTTTTAAGAGTTGACCTCTAAAAGATGATTTCTCCAAGCTATGATGAAATATATTACACTAGGCCAGCTAGCCTAGTGTAATATATTTCCATACAGTGTGTGATGTTTCCCCATCTTAAACATTGAAAGGATTTTTTTCCCTAGATTTTTCTGTTAGATTTGTGTGACTGTTAGATTACATTCTCAGACTTTCCCAACCTGATGTGTCTAAGGTATTTTGAGTTTCAGCTCTTGTGAGTATCATTTTACTTGGTCAAGGGTGAGAGACAATTGTGATACAGAACATCTGATTTAAATTTCCCAAAATTAATGCTGATGGTAGCTTTTGGACTTTTACTTTGATAGTGAGCAGTTGTGGTCTCATTGAGACTGGAAATCTTTTTGCCTGTATTTCTTGTATCTTGTTTGTATTTTATATCCTACTTGTATTACTGCCCTGTGAAATCATTGTGAATGGCTGAGGAGTCTGTCTTGGATATGTTTCAAAAGATGATGACAAGCAGTTAGTGAATCTTTCCTCTAATGGCAGCTTCCATTTGAACTCAGGCATTGAGATGGTTGAAGTTAAGGCACTGTAATACTTTTCTTTGCAGATTTTTGAGTTTTTCAGAGTCCTGTTAGATTACTTTTTCAATATGTGTTTCATTTTGGAAATGATTGTGCATGGAATTGTAAACTGAAAAGGGCATTGAAATTATGAGAGTACTAGCATTTTTAAGGGTAGATAATACTTAAATTAGATATCCAGGTGCATTATGGCGAATTTTATACATGTAATGTAGTTTCTGTTTTTAGCCAGGAATTACACCTGACGTGCGACGGAAACTTGGAGAAGCAGCTGTAAAGGCAGCTAAAGCTGTGAATTATGTTGGAGCAGGTATTGGAAACCTGATTTCCTATTGTTGTTAGTATTAGTATTATCTTTATTTATATCTTGAAGCAGAAAGTTGGACTCAAGGTGGCTAACAATCACAAAATCTAATAATAATTTAGAACTGTATAAATACAAAATTTAATAAACAGTGAAATAGTAGTGTGTGGATATAAAGTTCATATAAAATAAATATGCAATAAATACAATTAAAAAATTTTGGACTTCTTTTTTTGGATCTGGTTTTTAAAATTTGGTTTCCCTTGTTGCATGATGGATAAGCCAGTGATTATTAGAAATGTAATCCTAAACATCTTCAGGGCCCCATATTGCTTATCCCTGATCTGGTGAAAGCATATCCACACTTATGAACTACATTTCCCTCCAACTTTTTAGGAACAGTTGAATTTATAATGGATCGTGAACATAACTTCTATTTCATGGAAATGAACACCAGGCTGCAAGTGGAGCACCCAGTTACAGAAATGATTACAGGGACAGACTTGGTGGAGTGGCAGCTGAAGGTGAGAAGTCATGCAGATGAAAAAGTGGAGACTGTCAGTTTGAGATTGAGATTGTATCTTTCTTTAACACACATTAAAGTAGATTTCTCCTTATATCTGAGGTGGAGAATTCTCACTCTTTCCGTCTGCTTTTACTCTAAACTCAGCAGTGAATTAGGAGTGAAAGACACATCTTCTGAGATGTGATCTGTGTGTATTTTTGTATATTCACCCTTTCTCCTAAAATTGGGACTCAAGGCGACAAATTACATTAGATGGTGATTTTTGAAATAATACAGCTAGATATAAAAAAAAATTAGCTTGGAATTAAACTGTGGACAGTATCAAAAAAGGCTAAACTGCTGTACTGCAGAAAAAAATCCTGCCAACCGAAAGGTCAGCAATTCGAGCCCAGGTCAGGGTGAGCACCCACTGTTAGTCCCAGCTCACCTGCCCACATAGCAGGTCAAAAGCAGAAATGTGAGTAGATAAATAGGTACTGCATTTATCAGGGATGTAATAAAGGAAATCAATCGAAGGAAAGCTCTTCGGCATGGAAGATGGAGCGAGACCCCCCCCCCCCCAGTGGCCGGAGTTGAGCACAACCTCCAAGATGCCGGAAATAAGATGTGAAAACAGCTTTTACTTCTTTTTGTGCTGTCTGTCCTTGTTAATTGTATAATCAGCATTGGGTGTTTGCTGTATGTGTGTTCTGCAAACCGCTCTAAGGCCCTTTTGGGGTAAGAATGGCGGGGTATAAATCCAACAAATAAATAAATAAAATGATTTCCTACTATTCTTAAGAAGTTTAAATATTATTATTTATGTTATTAAAACTTGTGTTTATGTATGTTTTAATACATGCATACATAAATGCACACTCTGGAAAGAATTCAGTTTACAATTAAAGAAGCAGAAAGTTGGAATAAAAAATGAGAAGTTTGGAAACTCGTAACTAGGAAAGATAATAGTGTGGCAACAGGAACCAGGGTTGCGCTTTATTTGTGAGCACAAAATGTGGCATTCTGACAACAGAAAACTTCCATGTACACAGTTCCTCTCATCATTTTGTAAATGTTAGTGTTTAAAACTGTTTGCTTCTGAAAAATATTTTCCTGGATTTTTATGTAATTTGTATTGATTCAGTGAGTTTATTCTAATTGAGATTAAGAATTAGTTTTAGACCATACATGTTTAAAATTTGCATTTACATGTGATTTCTTGAGATCATTGGTTCTGAACTAAACACATGAAACTACTTTCTTTTTCAAAGATTGCTGCGGGAGAGAAAATTCCTTTGACTCAGGAAGAGATCTTGCTCAAGGGCCATGCCTTTGAAGCCAGAATCTACGCTGAAGACCCAGATAATAATTTCATGCCAGGGGCTGGACCCTTATTGCATTTGTCTACACCGCCTTCTGATAGCTGCACCAGGATAGAAACTGGGGTAAGACAAGGTAAAATGAAAGCTATTCATTAGGAGGATGATTTTATTCTTAAATATAATATAGGCTAGTATCTTTCTTGATAACATTTTGGCAATCAACATTTGAATGTTTGGTCATCTTCTAGAGACCTTTGTATTTCATCAATTACAGCGTGTGATTTTTAAATTTACTTCATTAAGGATTTTATGTCATTGAATTTATTTTTATAATATTTCCTACATTTGTTTTAATGTTTTCTTTTAATTATAATAATGTTTATTTTAAAAGGGTGGTTTTAACTTGGTACTCTGCCAGTTGTGCGTGGCCCCATTGTAGGCCTTTTACTCATATATAGTGTATCTGTCTTGACATTTGTTTCATAGTTTCAGTAATTCCATACTTCAGGTTGCTGAGTGACTGCATTGAAATACAGATAGCTTGCAAGTAGAGCACCGTATTTTTTATGTTATTTCTACCTAGACAGGATGGTTTGCTAGCTAGTTGTTTTTAATTTCTTTCACTTCCTTCTTTTTCCTTATTTCACACTACCAATTCTCACAAATAGCTTTTCCATTTATTTCTGTTACAGGAGATGAAGTTTCCATACATTATGATCCAATGATTGCTAAATTGGTTGTCTGGGCTGAAGATCGTCAAGCAGCTTTGAGGAAATTAAGATATTGCCTTCGACAATATAATGTAATTATAGGGATTAAAACATATATATTTTACCCTTTATCTGGAGATCTCAGGGTTGCATTCAATAAAACCAGTCTAACAAGCTTAAAACAATACTGTGGTTAAAATAATTTTAAAAGACTAAAAGACATATTAAATGATTAACATATTGTTTTTCATTGATGTGATATCAGATAAGTGCTCTAATCATGAACCATTTTTAATTATTCCAAGAGAAAAACAATATAAAGTATTCCCTTTCTACTTCGCGGTTCACTTTTCGTGGACTCGCTGTTTTGTGAGGAAGGAGGAGGGGAAAGAGGAGGAGGGCTTGCTTCCTTTCTTACCGTCCTTCCCTGAGAGTCTGCATGAGCAGGAAAGGAAGAGGGGGTTGAGGAGGAGGAGGCCTTCCTTCCTTCCTAACTTTCTTTTTCATTAACAGAGCGCACAAGCAAGGAAGGAGGAGGGGGAAGAGGAGGAGGGCTTGCTTCCTTTCCTTCCTTTCTTCCCTGACAGCACGCACGAGTGGGGAAGGAGGAGGGGGAAGAGGAGGAGGGCTTGCTTCCTTTCTTACCTTCCTTCCCTGACAGGGCGCATGAGCAGGGAAGGAAGAGGGCTTGCTTCCCTCCCTCCCTCCCTTCCTTCCTTTCTTCCCTGACAGTGTGCAGGAGCGGGGAAGGAGGAGGAGGAAGAAGAGGGCTTGCTTCCTTCCTTCCCTAACAGTATGCAAGAGCGAGGAATGAGAGGGGGGAAGAGGAGGAGGAGGGGAGGGGGAGCCAGGCACACGAGAAGGAGCCAGCAGGAAGCGTGGTGTGCAAGGGGAGGGGGGAGGGAAGGATGAAGGGAGGGGGAAAGAGGAGCATCCCTACTTCGTGGATTTTCACTTATTGTGGGTGGTCCTGGAACGTAACACCCGCGATAAGTGAGGGAACACTGTACTGCATAGTTTTGGTCAAAGGAGGTTCGTATTTTAGGTTGGAATTTTGTGAACAATTATTTTCCACCATCTAGTGTTCTTGTTCTCTTCTTTCAACAGATTGTAGGGCTGAACACTAATGTTGATTTCTTATTGAATCTCGCGGGCCACCCGGAGTTTGAAGCCGGAAATGTTCACACCAGTTTTATCCCTCAACATTATGATGAGCTCTTTCCAGCCAAAGGAGCCATATCAAAAGTATCTTTGTGTCAGGCAGCTCTTGGACTCATCCTGAGAGAGAAAATGATGACAGACACTTTCAGGCTTCAGTCAGAAGGTAATGCTATATTATGCTCCCCTTCTTTGGGAAATACATATTACTTCTTAAAAGATTCTTGCTTCCATTAGTACATATCTTAAACCCCCAGTGGCGCAGTAGGTTAAAGCGCTGAGTACATATCTTAGATCACAGATGAGTTATTTTAGGACAGTAGCTACCAGAATTCCCCTAGAATTCCTGCCAGTTTTGTTCCTAGTAGAATGAATGTCTAAAGGAATTTCAGGTCTGTTTCATGCTGTTATTAGTCTTCAATTCAGGACACAGTCTGTGTTGTAGTCCAGCCTTTGATTGTGCCAGTACTTGATCTCACTGGGGATTCTGGGCCTGCAGATCAGCAAGAGAATCAGGAGATTTTAAGCCCTGAGAATGAGCAACAGTTAGGTAGAAGATTTATGTTCCATTAACATAGGGTATCTCAGGAAGCAGTGCGAAGGTCAGTTTGCCTATTATCAGTTTTGGAAGGGTGTTGTTTTCTATCTATATTCGAAAGGCCAGCAGAGTATTCCCTCACTCCAGACAGTGTTGATGTTGGAGCTAAATCAAGTCTTCCATGTGATTTTTAGTTTCAGGTTTCCTTGTGTTCATGCTTCCTGATTTCATGTTTCATGTTCTGGTGGACTGTTCTTCTGTTGAATGTTGGGACTTTGCCTCCTTTTGTAGTCCTGGTTTTGGATGCATTTTACGTACTTTGAATTCTGAGAATTATTCCTGGATTTTGGACATTTATTTTACACTATTTTGCTGGATTGCTTTATATGTATATTCTTCAGTAAACTGCTTTGCTATTTTATCTGGAACTGGATTGTGTGTTAAGTACAGAGGTGATTCCCAGCCTTGAAGTGCAACAATCTGGGCACGTAGACAGGAATATATATGAATATGACTTTGGATGGGCCTGAATGTAAAAGGTTCCATTTATGCATCTGTATGCAAAATTTATCCCAGGTTGTGTATGTTTGGGATGAATGCTGCCAGCTTTATCTAACAAGTGTAAAACAGAGGTTAACGTTATCTCTTTTTTCCGCATTTTTCATATTTTAGATAAGTTCTCCCCATTTGCATCCAGCAGTGGTAGAAGACTAAACATACCCTACGTTAGAAACTTGACTCTTCTAGATGGTGAAAATAGTAAGTGATGATAGAGAAAACGGATGATAAAGAGCAGGCATGGGCCAACTTGGGCCCTCCAGGTGTTTTGGATTTCAACTCCCTCAATTCCTAACAGCCTGCCGGCTGTTAGGAATTGTGGGAGTTGAAGTCGAAAACACCTGGAGGGCCCAAGTTGGCCCATGCCTGCTATAAAGAGAATGTAAACAACCATTTTAATTCTGCTCTTTATAGCAGTCTCTAACAGTCATTCCTCTACTGACATTTCCTAACTGCCATCCTGTTTAAACCTGAACATCCTAAACTGTCACTGAGTCAGTCATGAGACCTGCAGCCCCTCCCACTGCTTTAGGTATATAGAGATAAGGAAACTACAAATCTATTAAGACATATACTTCAGGTTACAAAACAACACATTACAAAACTGACAAATATCATATAGAGGAGGCTTGAGAAGGTTGCTTTCCTCAACAGAAGACAGATAGGTGGGTGTGGGAGAAGATCACCCAGACAAGTGGCTCATGCAGTATTATTATTATATTTATTTCTAATAATACTAATTTTGTTATCTGAAAACTGACCCAGAGAACAGTAGAGGAGAGTCACTGGTGTTATGTGAATAGTTAAAAAGAAGCACCACTCTTTTAAATATGGGTTGCTCTAGCTACAGTCTTCTATTGTGTTTGACATGTGTTGGGGTTTTTTTTTAAACAGATGTGAATATGAGTGTTACCTACAATCATGATGGATCATACAACATGCAGGTAATCTTCTCCATAATATGATTACAGTTACTAAGGGACTTAGCAGCCTCCTCAAGCTCTTCCTGCCTGATTCCTTTACTAAATTGACCTCTTGAGAGGTCTGTGAACTTTGTCAGTTTGAATGGAGTTCTACAGGATATAAGGAAGGTATAAGTTTAGGGGGTTTACCTTTAAACGTCAATGTGGCAACAGCTAGAGCTGTGTGTGGAGTTGGGTTGGTGGACTGCAGTCTTATCTGCTTGTTTTAGCAATTAAGAAATGGCCGTCATTATTATTTTATCAACAAAATAATCAACATTATTATTTTATGATGATAAAGATTTGCAAACAAAGGTTGGAAGAAAAAGGAGAAAAACCACTCATTGCTATCCATTGTGCTTTTTTCTTGTCTCAGTGATTGACATTTATTCTGCTTTACATTTTGGCTCTCTCATCTTAATGACCTTTTGAGGTCTTGGTGTGTTTACTACCTTTGAGCAAGTAAATTTAGGACAACGATAGAACATGATGGGTTCAAATGGTAGTCATAGAGGAGCGGGAAAAGCTCTTGCTTACTTAGCAGTGAAACCTATTCAATTAAGCAAGCATCTCTCCTCTCATCTTGTGCAGAGATGTGGAACATTTATTTCATTTATTTTAGGTATATATTAAAAATACTTAAAGCTCTTTAGGTTGTTTGAACTATTGACATTTTTTTGAAAAACAAACCAAAAATAATTTTCTTTGAAACCAGTTTTAAACAATCACAGATAGTGAAAACAGGATGAAAAGCCAAGCTTGGTTTTAAGGACCAAAGGACAGGCTGTCCACAGGAAGCTCAAAAAGAGGGGAATTCCACAAGCAAGAGGGTGCTGTATTGGGTTGTAACTGTACAAAAAGGGCAGCTTCATATGGTCGTGTATCTGTCTGAAGATTCACTGGCTCGAGATGGGGATGACCCAACCACAATTTTTAAAATAATGCAATTTCCACAAACTTCAAAACTTTTTTGTTTTGTTTTTCGGTTAGTTTTTAATTTGAAAAACATGCAATTTGAAAAACATGCAATCTGTATAGTTGCACATATTGGAAGTATGAACATTTGTGTGCTGAAATTTTTCTGATGGGTTCTCCTCCCCACTTCCACCTTATTTGTGACTGCTTCCTCACCCTCCGTTCTTATTAGGAATGCAATATGTGTATACTCTGTTTTATTTCTTCAAAGAGGGACAGAGAGTTTTAAAAACTATTAACTGTATTTCAGATACAGGACCAGTCTTTCCATGTTTCTGGATGTGTTTCAAGCGACGGTGCTTCAGATTACATAATATGTTCAGTAAATGGAATTATTTGTAAATCCAAGATGGTAATTTTGGACAATTCCATTCACCTCTTCTCACCGGTAATATTTTTTTTTCATCTTTCTGGGAATCTGATATTCAAACGGGATTGAATGAAATAAGGGAACAGTCATAGTTTTTATATTTTTATATTTTAGAAAAAGGGTTGAATACATTATGCTATTTCTTTGAAAGCCGTCTGTAAGCTTATTGCAATTTTAGAAAAACTATAGTTTTCATTTGTTTAGGCTGGTAGGGTCAGTACAGAGCTATTAAGCTAATAATAAAAGATACATTTCCTACTACCATATGTACTCGAGTATAAACTGACTAGAATATAAGCCGAGGCACCTAATTTTACCACAAAAAACTGGGAAAACTCATTTACTCAAGTATAAGCCGAGAGTGGGAAATGCAGCAGCTACTGGTAAATTTCAAAATAAAAATAGATACCAATAAAATTACATTAATTCAGGCATCAGTAAGTTAAATGTTTTTGAATATTTACATAAAACTGTAATTTAAGGTAACACTGTCTAACTGATTAAACCATTATTCTAACCTTATTCAATATAAATGTGATTACCTATCCTTCCAATAATAATAGAGTAAAATAATGACTGTAATAATAATAATAATAATAGAGTAAAATAATGGAAATGTAATAATAACAGTAATAATAGTGTAAAATAATAAATGTAATAATAATAATAATAAATGGAGAAAAATAATAAATATAATAATAGAGTAAAATAATAAACATAATAATAGAGTAAAATAATGTAAATGTAATAATAATAATAATAATTTAAAAAATAAAGATTATGTTTTTAATGACAACAATGGAGTGATTGGATGACGACTTGGAACGGTGAACTGTTATACTATGTTATTTATTGTGCAGTACTAAATAGTGCCTGTTGCTAGCCGTCCTGAGTCTCTTTTCAGAGGTGGAGAAGGACAGATAGAAAGCTCCTAATAAATAATAATATATAGAGTAAAATAATAAATGTAATAAAAATAATATTAACAGAGTAAAATAATAAATTACTTTGACTTTAGTATAATCCGAAGGGGGCTTTTTCAGCCAAAAAAAGGACTGAAAAACTCAAATTATATTTGAGTATATACGGTAATTTGTTATTTTTGATAGTTCCCATCGGGTTGACTTCAACTAAAGACGACCTTATGAATGAAATACATCCAATATTCTATCTGGCAGAAATAAACATTTAAAAGAACATCCTAAACAATTCAGTGTCATTGTGAGCGCCCTTTGGAACAGAGTTATAATTGAAATGTATTTGATGAAGAATGGTTTATTTCAAAACCACTCAGGCTTTATAGACATTTTGCATCATTTTCAAAGTATTGTTCCTTCAATTTGGATGTAAGTCTAAATAAGCTAAGAAGATGAATTCATAGTAATGTAACATATCTTGTCAGCATTTTCTGCATGGTAGTAAAAAAATATTATAATAAAAAATAGCCTAGCAGTGGTCTGATAATGTTGCTGGAGATCAGCTGTTATTGTAAAAAGAATGAAAAGAATGTTAAATGACTCTCTAATTAATATAATGTAAACAATTATCATTAAAAGGCAGTACAGTCAGCCTTAAACATTTGCTAGGGTCAGAGGCACTGATTCCCCATGAAAGGTGGGAAACTACAAATAAAAGTACCTTTTAAACATGAAATAGCACTTCTCTGGGAACCTCTAGGTCCTCTAGTGCAACTTTGTGATCATAATCCTGCAGAAGTTGACCATACAGTTGCACTGGAGGACTAAAAGATTGCTAGAAAGACCATATTAATCAAATCTGCAGAAGTTAAACCCACAAACGTGGCAACTCATATATTTAGTGCCAGGCCTGTTAGTATGTGTCGTGTACGGAATGTGGAAATTCTAAACTTCAGTTGTAAAAGGACAGCGTTCATATGTTCTTGGCTGATTTTGTTTTCTCTAGGAAGGCAGTGAGCAGATTGGTCTTCCTTTGCCAAAATACCTCTCTGGAACTAGTGCCGTGGGAGAGCAGAGTGGGGCTGTGGCCCCTATGACAGGAACAATAGAAAAGGTAAGCCTGAGAATCAGGATACACCAGATATGGGCAAACTTTGGCCCTCCAGGTGTTTTGGACTTCAACTCCCACAATTCCAAACAGCCGATAGGAAGGCCGAGGTTTGCCCCAGCCTGCAAAATGCTTAATAAATAAAACCATAGGCACGTTTCCTTTTCTTCCCAAGTTCATCTCAGTGGCTGAAGAACCTCATGGAGGAGATTCCAAGGCAAATGTACTAAAATATTCCCCAAACTTCATTGCTCTGTTTCTGCTTGACTATAACTCCCATCATTCCCAGTCTTCATGATCATGCTGACTAGGCTAATGGGTCTAGTCATCATGATCATGTGGAAAGCACTTTTTTTGTTGTGTCAGGAGCGACTTGAGAAACTGCAAGTCGCTTCTGGTGTGAGAGAATTGGCCGTCTGCAAGGACGTTGCCCAGGGGACACCCAGATGATTTTGATGTTTTTATCATCCTTGTGGGAGACTTCTCTCATGTCCCCGTATGAGGAGCTGGAGCTGATTGAGTGAGCTCATCCGCCTCTCCTTGGATTCGAACCTGCGACCTGTCGGCCTTCAGTCCTGCTGGCACAGGGGTTTAGCCCACTGCGCCACCAGGGCACTAATTTGGGAGAAGATCACTGCAGCAAATCCAGCCCCCTGCTTCCTGGAAATAAATCAGCTACCTCATATAAATCAGCGGCATGGTCAGTCTCAAGGCTATGGATCATTTACAGTTCCTTCCCTGTTTGCTCCCAATCCCCTACAGAGATATACACCTAGGATTATAAAGAAATATCCTTGGCCTTCACAATGGACCCTAGAGTCACATTCTCCCTAAAAGGTGCCATGAGAAGTTAATGCTATCATCCTGTGAAATTTGGTTAGCTTGTAAGCTGGTCAGTGAACACTTTAAGCAAACTCTGAAAAAGAGGCTGTCATTTCCCATAAGTCTGTAAACCTACTTATCCAAGATACAGTAGAGATCAAAAAATGTGAGAAATATAGACAAAGGCTGCCAGGCATGAATTAGCAGTGTATGTGCATGAATTTGTCATATTGATGTACTTGGTTCACATGAGGCTATAACCAAACAGTTTCTGCCTCACTCCTCCGTCTGTCTAAACTGAGTGTTTGGATAGAGATGCACCCAGCTCATAGTTACAGGAGAATCTGCTAGAGAATCTGTCTTTTTTTCTGGATTAAGCTTTGTTCATTGCATTTACTGCTGATTCAACTCAACTCTGAAAATTTGTGTTTCTCCGCTGCTCCTTTAGCATCCTCCCAATGCTAACCCCGCTTGAAAAAATCCTTTTCCAGTTAGAGGATGAGGAGAAGAAGGGGGCTGACTGGGCAGAATAAATACTTATAAAAAGGAGTTTTGCTGTCACACACGTGTTAACTAACAATGCCTGCCTTAGTACTGAAAGGTAAATGTGGCAGGTAGTTTTGAATACAGTATGCAAGAAACCTTTGACATGTATGTGCAGCAATGTACTATTTTATTTATCCTATTTATATCCCGCCTTTCTCAACCCCGTAGGGGACTCAAGGTGACTTACATATATAAACAACAATTCAATGCCATGTAAACATACATATAGAATAAAATAAACATTTATATTAAAACATATTTATCTATTTATTTATTTTATTTAGCAATTTTGTATACAGGTCTTCTCCCCTCTATCGGGGGACTCAGGCCGGTTTCCAACAATAAAATCACAAAACAATAATTAAAAACATCATATAACTTATTCAATTAAAATGTAATAGCAAAATGCAATCACATAATAACAATGGTCAGTCGTCATAGTGAATTCGTTGTCCATCATTCATCGTCATCTATCCGATCACAGAAATATTGATTCACTCGTTGAAAGCCAAACCCCATAGCCAGGTTTTCACCCGTTTTCTGAACGACAGAATGGAGGGGGCAGTTCAAACCTTAAAACATTCATCAAAATCACGATCCATGGCCGTTCCAAATTGTCATTGCATTATTCCATAATTCTCTAGTGGGTTACTAACTGAATGCTTGATCCCACATCCATGTCTTTAGCCTTTTCCTGTAGATCTGGAGGGAGGGGGATGATGCGATTTCATTATGCCTAGTATTGCCTCCATAGAACCAGTAAATTGGGCTCTTAAGTAATAAATGTCAAATGCAAATTATATTTCAGGTTTGCATTTTTAAAAAGCACACTTTTAAAATGTCAAAATGTTATCCTGCTGAGAGAAACTGACTTCCATGGTAAGCTCAGCAAGTGTTTCCATTCTTTATCTTTGCACAAGGGCTATTTTGTCCTGCCTTTTCCTTTCTATAGGGCTTTTGTTTAAAAAAATCTTTCATAGTGACGTTTGCATGACAGGAGTATAACATGCAGATTCAGTTCTCATTCACTTTTCAATTTATTAGGTATTTGTGAAAGCTGGGGATAAAGTCCAGGTTGGAGATCCGTTAATGGTAATGATAGCGATGAAAATGGAGGTGGGTAATTTTTTATATAAGATTTTAATTGTATTTGAGTCACAAGCTTAGTGTTCCTGTGGGGATTTGGGTCTGATCTATTTGCACATTGTAGAAATTGCACCTTAAGTGTTGGGAAATAATATATTAACTGAGTAGATCTTTGAGGATTGTGCTGTTTGTACTGATAGTGATCATTGGTAACATTTCTAACATTTCTCAGAAGTAAATACTCTATTCTTTTTGTATGCAAAATTATCTCTTATGAGCGAGAGCAGTTATTTTCTTCCAATGCTACTTAAGAATTTTTGCTCTGAAGGAAGGCTGTCTGTGTAACTCCTATCAAATATTTATTTATTTATCATATTTATATACCGTCCCTCTCAGCCCAAAGGCAACTTGAGAAACCTTTCCTATAAAGACGAAATCATGGCATTTTATTCTTCTCTCGCAGAATATAAATTTGCAGCTATGTAGAGGCCTTGTCTGGTTTCTTAATAACTTTAGATAAACTAGTACAGTTCTGCTTATTTAATGAATACCAAATTACACTTTGCATTTAATTGTTCTCAGGCAGTGTTAATGCACAAGTGCAATACCAGAAAACATAGCAGTCGTGATGTTGATGTTTTCTCACCAATGCGCTAACTTTTGACCTCCTGTGTTCAGCATAATTTGATGTGACTCACACCTAACAAAAAAAACCCCTTAAACTATAAATGCAGCCTGAAAGATGTGTGGGGGAAGAGAAGGGGAAATGTAGAATGCATAGATTGAGCTGAGAGAAGGCATATAGTTGAATGTTTTGGATGCTGCCATTTTCAATATTTGCTAAAATAATTAAAATACATATTTTTGTAGGCCCAAATCAACTTTATGATTTTACAACTGTAAATTTGTGAGATATCATATTCTAACAAATTGTGAAAAAGTGTCTGGGGTCAACATTAACATGGCACAGAAATGGAGCCTTGATTAAATATGTGCCATGTCATCCCCACCAGCTATAACTTAATGGATAGCATTTCTTTCTGTTCTGTCATACTCTACCCTGCATATTAGCATGCAGAGGTTGTTCTTGCCTCTCAGTATACCCCTCAGTTTGAATTGGTAGGTTGATCACACTAAGTGGATCTTGTGCAAATATAGAAACCATTAATGCTTCTTTCTCTGCAGCACACCATTCGTGCCCCAAAAGCAGGAATCATAAAGAAGGTTCTTTATCAGGAAGGATCGCAGGCCAACAGACATACTCCACTAGTTGAGTTAGTGGAAGAAGAATTGGAGTCAAAATAATTTCCATTGAATGGAGGTGATGAGTTTTGATTCTTTCTTGCTTCTTTTTTATTCTTCAAGAAATCATCTTCTTATTTTATTCATTGAACGGATCAGTAATAAATTGCTCTTATTGACATGACATTCTTTTGGTAATTTCCTGACAAAATTTGAGGTTCCCAGCACCAGAAAGAAAGGGCACATACAGTTACAAACCCGTATTGAGCTCAATACACACTGCATCAAGGACTCAGCCCACTTCATAGAAAAAATCAGCAACCTCAAGCTCCAATGAAAAGTTGATCAGCTTCGTTGTAGTGTCTCTATTTACCAAGATCCCGGCAGCAGACACCATCGCTTCAATCAACCAGAAGTTCGCAGAAAGCATCACAGCCCTGTTTAAGCATTGCCTCACCACAAGCTACTTCCAGTGGGACAATGAATTTTATGAACAGAAAGATGGAGTAGCTATGGGGACCCCTCTCAGCCCAGTCACAGCAAATTTCTACATGGAACACTTTGAAAAACAAGCCCTGGAAACAGCAACAAAAAAACCTTACTGTATGGTTCAGATATGTGGATGACACCTTCACCATTTGGAGCCATGGAGAAGAAGAACTAAACAAATTCCTGAACCACCTCAACATCATCCCCCCAAACATCCAATTCATCATGGAAAAAGAAAATGCAGGAAAACTGCAATTTCTAGATGTCCTAGTCATCCGCAAACTAGTCATCCGCAAACTAGATCAACAATGTCAATGGCCTTACCATTACTACATCGTTGCCTCAAAACCACGCAGCAACGAGAGCGACTGGTCTCAAAAAGTGCTGAGGCAACAGAGAAGTTGAGAGGGGAGAAGCTGACTACCCACGGAAAATTACTACTACATGAGCTCTAGATTATTAAATATGGTATTCTGTAGGCTAGCAGATGGTGACTACTGGATGGCATATGTTCTGTATCAGAAACTAGAGCTGATGTGGTCTATACAATGCAATTTTCTGAATCAGCACCCCAAATAACCAAACCAAATTTAAAGTTGCCTAAAAACTGTTTTGTAACCCTTTTGGTACTGATGTTGGAGAGTGGTTCCTAGTTTTTAAAAAAAAGGTTGGGATCCACTGCTCTAGTAGGCAGTGCTTCTCTGTGGAACAGTGGATGTGATCCTACAGCTATACCTACAGGAGAACCACATGGTGTAGCTGCTTTTCACATTGTCAGGCAAAGGCTTTCCTGTCCGAATCCTCCTCTGGTCCCCCCCCCCCCCCCATATTTGGAAAACAAGACTTTGGAGAAAGATTCTCAGCTAGCTTTAATACTGTAACAACACATACTAGCTTCTCCTGCCAGTGTTTTTGTTTTTCTTTCATTTTCTTTTATCCCTCTGTACTCCACCATAGTATAATTTCTGAGAAATATCACCAACATGTGATTGGACTTCATAGATGGTGTGAAGATAGCTTTTAAAAGGTGAACCACATGCCTCGCACTGGCTATTTGTCCCAGTTCCTAAGAATGAAGTCCAAGCTAGACAAGTTGTTCAGTACATTTGGATTGAATATGCAGTCGGTGTGTTCTTTCAAACACAAACAGCAGCTGTGCAGGTAAGATTTTATCAGTACTTCAGCAGAGGGGGAAGGGATAACATTCTCCATTTCCTCTTGTATTTAAATAATAGCCTCTTCTCGGTATATGTTATTTGTATTGTAATTATGACTCCTCTTTGCAGGAAGAAGCATACAGGCAGATCTTACTTTTGCTTCTTCCAGAATGGTGGGCACAAGCAGTAAAGTAACACAGGAAAAAGCCCCCAGCCTATGTAGACTTTGTTGGTCAGAAATCCTGCATGTGTTGTTTTATTGCCTTGTGGTACCATAGTAGGAAAGTCAGTGCATTGTGTATTAACTCGCCATACCATTACTAGATATTATTGTTAACTGGATGGTGCCTGCAGGGAGCACATAACCCCTTTGTTGTGACACCCCACTTAAATTTAAGCCATGATTGGTCCCGAAGTAGGGAAAAGGCAGAGAAAAATAACAGCAACACCAATAACTGCTCTGTAAACTCTAGCCCCATTTACATTGACCATTTAATGCAGTTCGGTTATAAAATAAAATACATTAAAATAATACATTAAAATAAAGATGTTAATGTGCATCTGTGCAAAATCAACATCTGGGGCTCAACAAACTGGTTCCAGGGTTTCCTATGTAATCTGCACAGTGAAGCCATTTTCTTCAATACCAGTTTGAAACTTCATTAAAGGGTCAATCAATCAATGATTTATTACGGTCTTTGACTAGCACAGTACAAAATGAGGCACAGGTGCCCAAGGAAGGGAATCGCAGTTCCCAAGTAGGTCAGATAAAAAGCAGATTAAAAACATGTTATAAAAGAGACAGATTAAAAAGCAGACTAAACTTGCAGTTTAAAGTGCATGTATGAATCTAAAACGGGGGCGGCTAATAACAAATATCAGACAACTGGGAGGCTCTAAAAAGGGATGAGAGGGGAGCAGTTAGAACGATTTGTAATGACTGAAATGCTCCCCTCTCATTAAAGAGTCATTGCCTCATAATCAAAGTATCACTCACAGCCAAGTATGATTGCCTTCCAAGTGTAGGGTCTTAGTGATGGGTCCGTAGGTGACTGTAGAGACATTCTTGATCTGCATGTTCTTTTGCGGTGAAGATATCCATTTCCAGGTGGAAGGCGGTCCCAACAAGGGTTGGCTTTGACAAACCTTCCTCTTGACACATTTCTCCCTTTCACCCTCCATTCGTGCCTCTTCGAATTCCACAGCACTGTTGGTCAGTTTAGATGGGACCTCATAGTCTTCAAATGAAGGGAAATTGTAGTTCATCTTAGACTAAACAAAGAGAAGTTTGAGGCATACATTTTCACACACTCTTGTCTGCTTCAGCCAATGAATTAAGACTGGGTCTGCAAAATCTTATGCTACAAACTTTTTTCTTTCAGTTAAGTCCAAAGGTACTCCAAGATCCCTGTGCACATGGATAACATGGCTAGATCTTTGAATACACCTTCAAGCCAATGAATTAAGACTGGGTCTGCAAAATCTTATACTACAAACTCTTTTCTTTCAGTTAAGTCCAAAGGTACTCCAAAATCCCTGTGCATATCAATAACATGGCTAGATCTTTGAATACACCTTCAAGCAAAGTGATGCAGTTTTCAAGAGCTAAACAGTTTGTGCCCACTGGGATCTCTGTGCTTGTTGCAATGGTACAGGCCTACAGACAGCAGTCTTCCTTCTGCTTAGGTTATGCTCATCACAAAATAGAAATACTTTAAAATAATTTTGAGTAAGTCTTACAAAACTATAAGGGAGTCTAAATTTGAATATTCCAGATTCCAAGGAAGTTTTATTTCAACAACATTTGAGACCAGAGAAGCCATTGTTTTAGAATTGACTATTCTGGTATTTCCTAACTTTTCAGACAGTGGAATGAAAACAAAAATAAACTAGGGTTTGAGAAAGGTAGAGTAAGAAGCAACCCTGAACAAATCCAAGAGTAAGGTGTTTTCTACATATTGGCATTTGTGCATCCCTGATTAAGTCTGCATTTGCCAGCAGGGTGCAGTAGCAGTTGGGCTGTGATGCGGAAGAATTAAGTGTTGGTCCAATTGCTTACTACTGGGTTTTGAAGGCTCTGTGGGTGTCCCTGATCAGGTTACTCCTTCTGCGTGACCTACCTTCCTGTTGTGGGCAGGGCTGGTTTGAAAGCTGCTCTGGGCTCCCTGCAGGTAAGGCAGGATGCAACTGTAGTAAATAAATTTGCCTTTGCAAACAGACAATATCTTGCCTGACGTACCTTGCCCAGTTTCATGAGCTGTGACTTCACCTTGTGGAATCTGCTCATAATACAAGAGCAGGCAGGAGGAACTGTGCCAGAGCAGTGCAAGAGTGATGAAATGAGGCGTGACCACCTTCCGCTGTGACTTGCGACCTCATAACCCTGAACTATGTGACGCAAAGTCATTTGAATGCAGCCGGAGAAGAGGAAGGAGGAAAACTTGCACCAGATTTGTCCTACTTTCTGTGTCTGAGCCTGCTAGCTTTGATCAGCTTAATTGGTCATCAGCAAAAACAAATTAAAAACAGTTGGGATTGAGTCTGAACTGCACAAAGAAGCTCAAGAACAGGACATTAAAATAGCATAATAAAATAACTTTGGACTTGTTCCCAAGCAGTTGGCCCAGTGTTTCTCTAAACATGAACCTTCTCTACTAGTTACAAATACCCAAACACAATGATTCTCACGTCAGGCAGGAAATTCTAAAAATTAAATATTTTGTAAACAAGTATTTTATGTGTTATAAATCTACTGTGCATCAACTTAATTGGGTAGCCCTGAAGTGTAGCATTGCATGAGAACAAAAAGGCTCTTTGATCTTCACACTCCCTCACAGGTAGATTCAGAAAATAAAGCATGCCGCTATATTATTTAAAAGCACACCTACTTTCATGTTTTGAAAGTGTTTTAGAAATGATTGATAGTGATTGCAAAGGTTAATCTACACAAAGAACTGGCAAGAGGAGAAAAGGAAAAACGTCAGTGAAATCTGAGTTAATAACATGTTTCATATTATTGGAATGCATTCATTACTAAATCGTAGAACTTCCAGGGTGAAAAAAAATCCCGGGGAAATATGAAAAAAAGCCATATTTTGGTGGAAAGATCCATCATTTCAGTAAAGAGGAACTGTAGTCCCCCAGAGGATATTCAGTTATAGCTCCCATAATCTGTGGCGTAATGTAAAATAAACCATGTGTACTTCATGTTTGATCAGCCCACACATTGCCTTGCCAAAGAAGGAAAATATGCCACTCAGATGAACAATAAAGTTGTTTACTCTTCTTAGTTCAGAACAATATATGTACAATATGATCAGTTGTATTGATTCACATAATGCCCTTTTATGAGAGATTTTAAATGGCTTTTCTTTTGCCCATGTGGATAAACTCCTTCAGCAGTTCATGAAGTAAGAGTACACTCCAGACTCTGTCCCTCTGCTTCTCTCTCCAAAACTGTCTCTTAGCAGGGTTGTTGTAGGTTTTTTCGGGCAATATGGCCATGTTCTAGAGGCATTCTCTCCTGACGTTTC